ATACAAACAATAAGCCGTTGAAAAAATAATTCATAAAATACAAAAAAACTGCAAAAAATAAAAATCACTTCCATTCTTACAAGTTTTTGCTTTGTTCGATCCAGTCTTCGTTTGCTACTGTGTTAAGAACCCACTCCATTTCTGCTTCAAATGCTGGACGGCCAAAGCCTCTCTCAAAATCCACTGGTAATTGTTGAATTTTCTGCTTCCAGCTCAGCCATTCTCCTTTTTCGTTTATTTCTAAAGCGACAGGAAAACTGATGAAACGATATGAGGACAATAAATGAATATTTAGCAACAATAAATCGCTATGCAACCGTAAACTGTATTTACTAAAAAGAACTGGAAAAAACTTACAAAAAAATTTAAAAAAAAAATGTCCCCATTTTTAGAGAGGGAAAACCCAAAGAGCTGGCGGTATACAGTAACACCACCAAATTTGGGTTCCATATCGAACCCTTTCCTTCTAAAATCAATGGTATTTGTGAGCTCATTCTTCGGACACAAACTGGTAGTCTGAAATGTATTTAGTCCATTAGTATTATTTAAAAAAACAATGAATAGCATACAAAGAAGCATCGCAAGTTCACCTGCCACCAACACGAACACTACCCAACCAAGAACAAAATAAGCCTAAGCAAGCATATGCCAAGCAGCCAACCATAAACAAGGTCACTTCGACCGGTTGCGTCCTTAAATCCTTTAAGCCGTACAGTATCTACACAATCAGACATTCACTTCAGGACTCCGTCACTCGATTAAAGCCAATGAGATTATCTTACTCTAATGAAAATATTTCAGAACACTTGAGTTAACTTTGAAATGGACGTAGTCCTTACATTATTGGGTTCATCAATATTTGTTGTAACAGTTATAAATTTGTAAACTTCCAGTTTCGTTTTGAAAACTGTCTTGAGAATATTATTTGTGCTTGAATACGGCGTATTTTGATTCTCTTGCAAATCTTGAAACGAATTGTTTAGATACGTACTGTATTTTTGTGTTATTACAGCATTCAGGAAAAATGGAGATTTACATACCGAAAGCGAAGGAACGCTTTAAGAAAATGAAATTTGAGACTCACACCAAAATACATTGAAAATTAAAGACATGAGGTATATGAGGAAAGTGCAACTGTAACCTTGTAGGTCACGAAGACGATTGTCAGCCCTTAAGACACCAAAAAGTCTGTTTAGATCATTCGTGACACCCAAATAAGTGGACTTACTTTAGTTGAATGATAAAATTATCACTGAAAACTGAAACAACTTGAGACTATAAAGGGGTCTCACGACTAGTATATGCAATCTGGCACGGAAATGCTACTGGAAATCGTGCCGGAAAGTAGTTTCATCTCTGGTGGTATGAAGGTAGCACAAATGATTGCACATTCCTACCACCTGGTACCTGGCTATATCCAAATTTCGCTCTCACATTTTTGATATTCATAACTAATACTTTTTTGCATATATATTCTCTCAACACACCAATGACTTCA